AAACTCAAACACACAACAACCAACACACATTTTCACTTATTCTATATAGATTTTGTGAAAGCCTGAAATGGAATGAAAACTGTCGGTCCAGACTCGATCCTTAAAGTTGCACAACAATTCATAACATGGCCTCTACCTACTATTACAGAATTCTAAGTCCAAATAAAGAATGTAGCTACACTTAATCTGACAGATGATACAAGAAAATGAGAATCATACTCATAATCAATTAAATGCTGGTAATATACACAACAGTAGAAGCCTAAGCAAATACGTAAATACCAATTTCTCAAATGAAATAGCAAAAAGAGTACCAATGAGCAGAATGCAATTACTCATGCTGCATTTGGCAAATACAATGTAAAAAGAGCTCAGAAAGGTTGAGCTTCTCATTTTGTTCATTTCCACATAGTGTTAAACAGCCTACAAGCAGGCTGGCAAGAGCTTTAAGACTTACACCAGAAATTTCTTAGACAATAAAACCCTCAGTGGGAGTGCAGCAATAAAAATAAAAATATCACATTCTAAACAAAATAAAAATAAAGTGGGAGTTATTAAAAAGCGATTATGATGTACACGATAGTCTTTATTTTATATTTCCTTTAGAAATTAATTCAGTATAGAAATCCTACGTAAGATGAATTGGCGAGCATAACCTAGCAATTAGATTGTGAAATACATACATTATTTACCAGGAGACTCTTTCCCTGAAAAATTGGGTAAATGCAGACAGAAAAAGAATTCAGCAAATGAGGCACTAGTGGTAATGAGGAAATTGAGACAAGGAGGGTAGATTTCATTTCCAGTCCTAACTTACAAAGGCCAATCAGCACAAGCCAGGATATTTAAGTACAATCCAGCAGTTTGCTGGACAGGGAAGTAATTATGTTTCACGTTTTTGGAGTGTGGTTATGGCTGTTCTGAGCTGTAGAGCAATTATCTTCCTTGCCATAACTGAATCTTTGGACTTTAAAAGGCAGGTTTGGTCAACAGCAAAGTTCTGATAAAAGCACTGGAAATCTTGAATCACCACTCTTAAGCTACAAAAATTTCTGTGGTCTAGAAAAATTCAAAGCTCACATAAAGCATCATTTCAAATCCGTTTATGAAAGTGATTAATTCAACTCAAAATAGAATGGCTTGGCTTAGAAGAGACCTCAAGAATCATCAAGCTCCAACACCTCTGACACAGGCAAGACCAACTTCCATATCTAATATTAGACCATAAAACTTGGTTTTAACAAAACTTCAGGTAAAACATCATAACTCCCATTTGTCTGGCTTTCATAACTATAAAACAGCAACAACAGTTAATCCCACTTATAGAAGCTTTCTGATTCCCTCGGAAGAAATTTACTATAGGAAAGGGAAAATCAGTACTATTCATTTTAAAATACAGATCAATATGTTACTTGTTAATGCCTCTACTGTCCAATAAGAAAAACATTTTTGAGCATCTCTAAAATTATGAAAGGATTTTTGTCAAATCTCCTTTATAAGGAGCACTGACAGCTCTCAGCACAGAGAGCCACTGCACTACATCTGCAATATCTTTTATACTTGGGCAGCTGGCAAAAAGTGAGAAAATTCATTAGCATACTAATGATCTGTACTATTTAAAATTCCAGCTCTGATTATTGTGTGATTAAGTCTCTTCCCTTGACGTCTGCTTCCTTATACCTGCATTATTGTGAGAAATCAACAATTAGTAATGAAGTAAAAAAAAAAAACAGGTGACCAATTTATACACAAGAGAAACATACACACGTCAGCATTTCCTTTGTTGTTGTTTTCTAATGCTTCCCAGACAAAGTGGTATTATTTTCAGTAGAAGATATCTCAAAAAAGTTTTAAGAAGTTGACAGGCATGAAAGATAACAGTTCAAGTGCCAAATTACACAGGAATAACTATGAGTAGGAATACCTGTGCAGAAGGTTTCAAGAAATTACAAATCAAAGGAGGGGAGTAAATAGAATGTTATTGCCTGAACACAAGAGAAAAGCAAGACTGAGGTGACAACAGATCTTGCCACCTTAACTTCATTTTCAAGAGAAAAACAAAGCATCTTTTTTCTACAGCAAAAGATGTTTAAAACCACTGATGTATTTAAACGAGACCAAAGCCTACAAATAACAGACTAAGAGACATAGAGGTGGTCTCTGTTAACTTGGTGGCCCTGTTAGAGCAGTGAGGTTTGGACCGGCTGGCATCCTTTCCAACTTCAACCATGCCACAATCCTGAGACTAGAACTACTTTCCACGTGTTAATTTCAGTAACCTACTTCTAACTGATAGGCAGCTATCCTCATAAGAAGTTGAGCTGGGTCAAAGCACAGCACAACTCTGCACAAGGACAAATCACAGATACATCTCAACTGTGTATCAAGAATCAATCATGCTAGTCTTGCTCATTTTTGCTATTTAAATTAGCATGGTTAATTTTGCCTCAAGTTAACTACGAACTCTGAGCAGAGAGCTAGTAGAAAAGACAAAGGAAAGGGCTGCCAGATCAGGTTGCCAACGGCCCGATCCAACTTGGCCTTGAATGGCTCCAGTGATGGGGCATCCATAGATTCTCTGGGCAACCTGTTCCTGCTTTTCACCACCCACCAATTAAAGAATTTCTGCCTATTACCTAATCCAAACCTCTCCTCTTTTAGTTTCAATCCATTCTGCTCTTGGCTGTATCATTACTAGACTACGTAAAACATCCATCCCCATCCCTCTTTCAAGTACTGGAAGGCCACAGTGAGATCTCCCCAGAGCCTTCTCTTCTCCAAGCTAAACAAGTCCAACTCCCTCAATCTTTCTTCATAGGAGAGGTGCTTCAGCCCTCACTCAAGTTGTACCTTTCACAGTGCAGAAAAATAAACTCAATTTTCTCCAGTTATTTTAAATAACAAAGAAAATGCCACAGATCACAGCAAAACCGAACATAACACACCATGTATAAAAGCAACATGTATTTCTCAGCATTTGGCAGCTCTCTTTTCACCCTAATGTATCCCATAAGCCCATAACAGTATGGGCTTCCTCATCCATGATAAAGCCACCATAGGCAGTATTGTGTGGCATTCAATCAAACAAGAGATAGAGAAACAGCTATAGCAACAACCTGCTCAATCATAGTATACTACATCTTTTAATTATGCCAAGGCAATAAAATCCTATTCCAAATTTTCGTGCTTTATTTTCTAAACATAAAAGTACCACACAAAATAGCAACTGGTTCATAAAAGTGGATGTCATTTTTAAGACATAATTTGTTCACATTTTCTAGAGTGTATCAGAATGCTGTTATTCAGTTAAACATGGTGGTACCAATTTCATGCTACCAATTTCAAACCTAGAAGTATTTCCATATTTTTAAGAAGAAAACAGTTCGGAATACACGCAAGGAGATCAGGGACAAGAAAATGAGAATATCTTAGATTTCAATTTATGTATCTCTGACCGTTATGTGCTTGGTACAGTTATGTTACGAAGGAATAAATTTCTCTTTATGCCTACAGAATTATAATAAATTAAAAAACAATCCAAGCAGTAAACATGAAGTGCTTCGCAATTTGTTTTCACTAATTTTAGGACAGTAGAGGTCATACCTAAAGGAAATCTCATTACAGTTACACAAATGCAAAGGGGAAAAAAAAATAGAGCCTCTTCAGTGCCAACAATTCTGTTACTTCAGCAATACTCTTGCAGAGGTTTTGTTTGAAATGTTGCTGAAGAAAAACACAAATGAGAAGTGTGTATGTATTAGAGGAGATTTAATTGTCTGAGAAACAAAAGGAGAAACACAATGGACAGATTGGAAAGTCAGAATACTCCCCCCCCTTCAACTGATTTGCAATTTTAGGCAATGAGGAAACACCGTCTGATGTGTTTTCTTTCTGTGGGTTTGGATGACATGGCTTAGGTAATTACACACTATCAGGAACCAAAAAGATCAAAAAATTGTTTAAACGGCCATTTAGTTTCTAGCAGAGCAATTTCTAATCTAAGGTGCGTGTTTATTTTTCTATTTTTCTTTTAAAAACTACAGCCCTGGATGTATTCAGTTGTTTACAAAAACTTTGTTTTTAAGATACCTCTGCCTGTCCAATTCCCTATGAAGAGTCTACATGTGCTTCAAAAGCAGACATTCTTCCTCTTCTCAACCAACTTACTGCTCATAAAATTCTGAAAAAGGAAAGAAATTTCAAGTCTCTAAAGCTTCATAATAGCTCTCATATTTATACTTTTCTATTTAGAGGTATCTATAGTAAGTATATTTGCAAGTAATAGTTATTCAGTCTATTCATTTAACCAAACAACAAGCCTGTTTTATCTGCCTAACTTCAGGAAGGAGAACAGTAGAAGATAGGGTAATCCAAGACTAATAGTGGCTTTGCTAATTTTGATAATTTGTCAGCAGTTTTCCCAGTAATTACAGAGAATTTTCCCAGTCCATCGTAACAGTGCCACCTCAGCACACTGCCCTTGTGTTTGAATTCAAGCTGCATTTGATAAGCTTTAAAACCACTTCAAGCATGAGTTTAAGAAAATAACTCTTTCCTTCAGAACCATGTACCTATCACACCTCATTCATTCAGAGTCATTACCAGAGATTTATTAAATAGGCTGCACTGTTATTACAACCAACACCACCTACTGTCAGCACATAAAAGACTGCATATGTTTTTCTGTATGTGAATTCATGCACATTATCATCATCACTATAATTCTGATGGGATTTAGAAAAAAAAAAACTATTGAGAATTGGGTTAAAACTGAGCTCAAAAAGCAGTATATTGCCAGGATATCCCCTCTCTCCCTGAGCTCACTCTTCCCCAGAGCAAACAGATGAAAACTTATCTAGCACATTGCTTATCTAAGTTCTGGCCAATCTTTCTACTGAAAATCTGTATGTTTTGTAAATGCATGACGGTTTTATCAAAGCCAGTAGACTTCCAGATGTGTGTGACAGAGCAAAGGCTCTAACAGCCTGTGAACTACTTACCAAAGGCAGTCTCTCCACGTTCAAGCTCTTGCTTCAGTTTGTTGTAATCATCTTTAATTCTCTCTAGTTTCCGGATGTTTCGGGCACTCAAAACTAGAAGCTCACTGAGAAGTCCTTCCAGTTCTTTCTTCTCAGATGTTAATGATCTTATTTCTTCTGTCAGATCCTTAGCAGTACCAAAATTACTTCCTGCATATTTTTGGGGGGTAGCAGGGGGAGGGAGGAAAGAGACAATAAAGGAGACATTTGTAACATCAGTAAGTTACACAGCAAACAAGGAAAATTAACCAATTATCGTTCCCAACAGCAGTAAGACCAAATTGGGAGAGGACAAATAGGGGGAAATAAAGCAAACCAGTCTTTTTTTCAAGTATGTATTATGTTAACATTAAAAAAGTCATAACTACAGCATACCTAAAGTCATAGAAAGTTAAGATTCTTGAATAACACTTATTCCTTAAGCCTACACTTTAGAAAATTCATACTGAAACATACTGATTACTGTGCTGTCACCTGCCAGACCATTTTCATGTTTTGGAGAACACCTCAACTTGTCATACTTCTACAACAGCTGCCATCAATCTGCTGAACTCTGAAATATTCCTCTTTGAGCAAAGAAGCACAGTGCATTTGTTAGGTAGTAAGCAACTGCTGTAAAGAATTTCAAAAGAAAATTCTGAGAGGACATAACTGAAGTCAAGACTCCCTGCTTCTGACTGTCCCTAAGCCTCAGAGGTAGCACAACACCTCGAATGTTGCCTGCTTACCTTGCTCTGGAAATTCCAAAAAGTATTCAGGCCCTCTGGACAGTGATCCAGAATCAGAAGTTCAATTCCCAACTGGTTTCGAGTACGCACATTAGTAACATCTGCCACTTAACATTTCCCTGCTGGCTAGTTCTCTCAGGACATGGTAGGAAAAACAAGGTGCAAGTACTTATACATATCAGAAGACCACAAATTATGGCTAAATGCTGAGAGTGGCTCCATTCCTCCAGAGCAGAAGAGTGAACAGAAACACTTTCACCAATTAACTTGAAGAAAGTCCTTGAAGAAAGATACTGATGAAAATTCAAGTAGTCATATGAAGACAGACATACCAAAGAAGATTGCACTTCTCAAAATTTTGGATAAGACTGTATCAAATCACTCAGGTCTAAAGATTAAACCTTGCTAAAACTCCCTTTTTTCCTGTTGTTTATTTAGTCATGAAGATACAACAGTTTCAGCAAACCCCTCCTTGCTTAAATTAATCATTTCTTCTTCAAAACACCCCTAATTCCTGCTCCTCTGACAGTTTGCCAGTTCTATGTTACAAGGAATTATACAATTAAATAATTATAGGTTATTTATTTTCCTATTTACAAGTAGTAGGATCTTACTGTTAGCCAGTGCATTTATGAAGAAACAAGAGGGCAAACATAATATCTTAATGCACACATTTCCAAATGGATGGAACACAGCAGAAGATAAGCATGACCGCCACAAAAAATTGCCAGGAAAAAAAAGTAGGTATTCAGATGTTTCTAAGGCAAGAAGACAAATAATTAAACAGTGTGCCTTTATTTCTCCTGAACTCATCCCAAGCATCAGTGCACAACAGCCTTAATAAAACATGAAGGCAAGAATTTTTTCATTAGAATCTGGAACTTCTCTTACATTTCAGAAGACAGCAAGGAAAAAGGTATGATATTTTATATGAAAGTTTTATACATATTAAATGGATCTTAATTCCCAGAGGTAAAGTTTATATCAAAACTGAGGCTATGAGGAAATGGCAACAGATACATGCCCAGAAGCCAAACTGCCTGATACAGCTTCTCCTGACAGCAGAGATGTCAAAGTCTGCAGTGAAATTTCAGAAAAGCATATTCAAACTCAGGCAACGTAAGTATTATCAGTGAGCTTCTGACCTCAATCACAGCAACCAAAATAACTGTTTTCTAAATGCCATAAGAAGGTTGATTTAAAAATTAATGCACAACCCCTAGCTGCTAGCATTAAAAGACATGCCCTCCTGGGATTTTTAAGAGACAAAGTCACTTTGGATGCTGTAGAAATAATCTTCAGACATATTAAAATATTTTATTCTGCTTACTTACATGAAAATGTTAAAATTCTTCTTTTGGTAAAATAATTATATTTCATCTGAACAAAAGTGAACATAAGTGAACAAAAAACCTGCTACTTTATCAAGCACTCAAAGTTTTACATAGCCATACCACTGGGAGAACTAGTTGGCTGATATCAAATGAAAAAGTTAGTCACAGCTCTTAGAATCATAAAGTTTGGAAAAGACCTCTAAGATCATCTAGTCCAACCACAAACCCATCCCCACCATGTCCACTAACCATATCCTTCAGTGCCCCATCCACACATTTCTTGAACAACTCCAGGAACAGTAGCATCATCACCTCCCTGATCAGCCTGTTTCAATGGAATGCAAGGATTTCCTTTCCAGGAACCACATGGAATTGGGATTATAATAAAATTCAAAATTATTCACTTTTGCTTGGAAAAACTCATATTTCTATGAGCATCGTTCATCTCCCTATCCCTACAGACAGTAAGATCAGATAAGCTCCACTGGCTTGATGAGAGCACAAAAAGCACCAGCCAAATTAAGCAAAACACTGGAAAAATTGAAAAATGAAGAAGTATATCCAGGAAAAAAGTAGCCATATAATTCTTTCTATTCATTGTGAAACTAAATTGCATCCAACATTTAACTTAGATTGTTTTCCTCTTTTCTGAAAATTCTACTAGTATGGCCACATACAACAACTAAATGGCACTCAGCACACGTATCTTTTCTCTATGTGTAATTACATTATCAGATATTACTTTATCAAGCAGATTATTGCCCACATATTTCTCTCAAACTAACATCTCATTAATTTTATAATATTTGCCAGTAACAAATTGACTAAAAATATCCTTTGAAGTCCTCAAAACATAGGACAAAGTTAATGATGCAGTCTTTTTGCTCTAAGTCTCTCATATTTATGCCAGAAAGTACACTCATATTTTCCATTATTTATGCTTGATGCAGAGAGGTACGTATCACCCCTTCTGAAACTATATTCATTACAATACAAGCAAAGGAACAATTTTTGCATAACACTGAAGCGTATGTACCAGACATTCAGACCCATGTAGGAAAGAAACTGGTCTGTATTTATCATTACCTATATGCTAATCCTTCATAGACTAATGGTGCCTTTAATGACACAAAGAATTGAAAATTCACGTTTTAGCTTAGGGCATTCACCACCATGCTGTTTATCAAAGGCACTGGAATTCAAGCCTGAAAATCCTCCATGCCGTGAGAATACAAAACAATTCCAACCAGAACAAAACTTGAAGAAAATAAATATCATTCAGCTTCTCACAAAGAAAAAACAGTAAAAACATGGGGGGAATAAAAAGATTTTGGAGATAGTGCCAGTGTATTTGTGCAATTATTTTTGTCAAGTAATAACATGTGCTAACACGTTTATGAAGCAAATGCTACTGAAATGATTGATATGATTCTGAAAGATGAAATAAGATAATCCATTTAGAAGTAGGCAACAGACCCCAAGACATACATTTAGAAGAGGAATTCTCTTCCTTGGAAAGCCTATTGTACCAGGTATAATCAATCACCAAAGAGCGGACTCAGCGACTCAGAAATTCATCATTGGTCAAATAAATTAATAAATTAAATCAGTATTAACAATTCAAAGATTCAAGTGAAAATTATCAGCGAGAAAAGGCACAAAAGCCTTGAGGAGAAAACTCAGATTTGGAAGTTGGTAATTCAGCAACGCCGAGATGTAACCTGTTTTAAAGAGCAATAGAGACCAGTGACCACAGTGTTCCTCTGATGCTCTGGTGCCTGCACTGGGAGAGATGAGCATAGGATCAGCTCATCTCCCCTCCCTCTTGCCTCTGCCTCTCCTCCACACCACTGTCAAAGGAGAAGACAGACACACCTGAGAATAGGGGAACAGCTCAGACCAACTCTTCATTATTTAGAAGGCTTCATGAAATCATCATGCTCTTTTTACCAACCTAACCAAGAAACAAGTCACCTAGATTTTTGTACTAAAAGTGCCTACACTGAAATTCAGGGGATTTTCATCATGTTCTCCTGGACAATTTGTAGGAGGGACAGCACTAACCCTTTCTACAGACCACACAAGAGGTTTTCTTGCATCCTTCCCAGAGATCTTCCCATGTGGTAAGAACATCGACCCTTCACAGCTCTGCCCATCCAGAAAAGGAACTGCCAGAAAGATTATTCCTCTCTTCGAAGGAGAGCAGGTTAAGTAACAGGAGAGAAAGAGAGTAAGTCTCTGCATGGCTGACTGACTGCTCAAACAGAAGCAATGATTTTCTGCTGTCTGGTCACATATCATTTTGGAGTTTCAGCTACTGTAACTTATCTTTTTCACTGAAAGTCAATAAAACCTGTCAATCTCATTAGGATGTAAGATAAAAAGACAAATAGCATAGTTTTCTTAGGTCTATGTGACCATTAAGGACTTAGCTTTGGAGCTCACTAGTGTTATTTTTGTAAGTAGGTTAATAAGCTTTTCAGAAGGTTCATAACTTGTAGCAAGACTCTTGGATGGGGCATAAACTGATAATTGTGGGAACGCATGCCAGTACACAGCGCTGTATGCTGGAGCAGGATGTGATACAAGCATGAATTTTAGTAAGAACTATTGTTGATAGCTGGATGGCTGGACTGGATGATCTCGTAGATCTTTTCCAACCTTGGTGTTTCTGTGATTCTGTGATGAAGAACAAATTGCAATATGCTTCTGAGGCATCAATCCAGTCCGCTGCCAAAAGTAAGATGCTAAATGCAGAGAAGCAATTTTGTCATCTGACAAGACCCAGGTTTCTGTAAAACTCCAATTCACCAAAAAACTTAAGCCTATATAAGAAGGTACAAAGGGGCCTTGGTATTCTTGTCTCTAACACTAGATAAGTTTTCCATCTGTCCCCAAACAGTCCCTCTCAAAATTTAAATATACAAACTGGAGCACTACTGCCTTTGAGCAGAAAACAATAAAAACGGTATGCAGCGTGGCAGGGAATATGTCAACATCTTGTTGAGAACGTGGTGACTACACTTAACCTGCACGAAGTGACAAAAAGCAATATAGTAATGAAAACAAGCATCCACATTTTCAACCT